ACACATTCATATAAAATGTTAATTACTTAGCCAGTCAATGTAATGACAGGAATGAATAAGTAGATAACTCCCTAATTCCCACAGTATTAGGGAGTTATCTACTAAAAGGCTGAAAGACCTAAATTGGTCTTTCAACCAAATTTACTAATACTAAGTAAAGATTACTTAGTATTAGTAAAATATGCCCCTACTCGCTATACCGCGAGTAGGGGCATATCTAGTAAACAGTGAGCAGCCTGTATCCCCTCTCCCGAGCTGTATCCCCCCTCCCGAGCCCCCACCCGTACCGCACGAGTGGGGGCTTCTAACCTGGAGGGGACACCTATTGTCCTCCCCCCTTAGCCCCTACCCCTGAGCGGCAGGTGGGGGCCCTAAATAAAAATGTAACCCCCCCCCAGGATGACTAGGGGTCCCCAAGCCCCTAGTCACCCCCCTCCCAACATAATTAACCCCTACCTACCCTCCTCACCCTAACAATAGTGAGGGGGGGACCAATAAATAGGTACCTGTAAAAAAATTAATTAAACTTACCATTTGATGTCTTCTTTTTTCTAAAATCTTCTTTTTTCAGCCCCAAAAAGGGTCAAATAAAAATCCATAATAACCATCTCACTTTAAAAAAAACAGAGCACAAAAAAATAATTTATCTTTACCCATATCCTCCATTTTATAGGAACAGTAAAACACAATAAAAATATATTGTAACGGACCGTTTCAGCACACAAGGGGTTAAAACCGTTTAGGCGATCGTCCCCTTCCAGAGATGCAGGCACAGCTACTGCAGAACACCAATCCGCCGAACAGGAAACTATACGAATGCTGTAAACAGCCGAATAGGAAAAACCATACAAATATGCTTACACTCCTAGCAGTCGAACTGGAACAGCATACAATAAATCCCCACAAGAACGAGACAAAGCTCCGTGTTGAGGGTCAAGCAGTGAACAGACAGAGCTGTGGGTTTATTGTGCTTATGTACACATTCTTACACATTAGTACCACCCACAGGGTTTTGGAACACAACCAATAAACACATACAATACACTCAGACACTCCCACACAAATTCCTCCCCTCTGCCTGTGATTCAATTACCTTACACAATGGGTAATGTAATTTAGCACAAGCAGAGAAATACAATTTTTTCACATTATTCATAACTTGAAAAGTATGCATCACATTCACATACAACTTACATTTTCAGAATCAGCATACTCCAAATACAAACATACGTCAAAATCATACAAATTGGTCCAGTGGTTCAAAAGATAGATCGTAGTCCTTTGTGACCAAGGAAGCATGGCTTTTCTGCCCAAAACCAGTTCCACAGAGTCTTCTATCCTGGAGATAATTGTGAAGTAATCCAATTATCTCCAAAGACAGAGGCAAAACTCCATTGAACACATGGCAGCAAAAAGACAGTAAAATACAATAAAATACACAAGGTTACATTTATGACATAAAATACAGACATGCAACATATGCCAGATAGCTTAGGTCTGAGCGCACATTATTACTGAATGGCGCTCAGAGCACACACATACAGTTCAATTGCCATGGAGCCAAAGTCTTTCCCATAGTCTTTCATTATACGAATGGGCTCCATGGCATAGCTATCTGGGGTATCACTGCTCAAACAGGGCAAGCACCAAATGACCCGGCTTTCTTGTCTTTGCAGGGGAAAATCAAGCCTTTTAACATGGGGCCATAATCCAAAGGCAACAGGCGAGCAACCAGGCTTCTCCAATGCAATGTGGCGAGATTGCTCTCGTCACATATATATTCTTAAAACTACCGAACAGAATCCCCACATTCAACGTATCCCCAGATGGCTTAGATCTGAGCGCACAATATAACCGAATAGCGCTCAGATCCCATACACACAGTTCAATCGCCATGGAGCTAAAGTCTTGTACAAAATGCGTTCGAATGGGCTCCATGATGGGATGGCTATTTGGGGCAGCTCTGTTCGTATATAGTCAATGTACTGAACGGCACAGCGTTCAAATGAACCTGGAAGGTAACGAGGAAGGGTCGGCGACTTCAGCGTTGTTCGTGTGAAATAGTGTCCGATTTTAGTTCCACGGGTTTGACGATGAACACCGCTTGGCGTTGGACTGTCCAAGATGGCCGCCACCAAGTGTTCATTCATACGAATGACGACCATCCAGCCGACCATTCGGGAGTTGGAAGTGTCTGCGGTTAACCACAATGTTAATGAAGGCAGAAAGGTTAGCGAGCAGCACACTTCCCTTCTGGGTGGCCTGCCATTCGGTAGTTCCTTCGCATGTAAGGGAATGAAACGTAGGGCCATACGGACAAGTGGCAAATACCGAACAACCAGACGAATCCAAGGCAAATAATAGTAATCCAAAGACAGATAGGTCTGTCACAGGAGTATAAAGGAACACACTAAGGCCAGAGTGTTGTTTCATTCGGTGCACAATTGGGTGTTTTTTCTTACTATGTAATCCTTAAAATGTGGTCACTAAACATTTTCAATTCAGTTTTCACTCCATATTAATTTGGTAGTTAGTTCATGAACCCCTTTGTGTTTAAGTTTAAATACATATCATATCTGAAAAAAGAATGTTCAAGAACCACTAGAAATACATGTTTTTTTGTGATTTTTTATTTTAGGTTAAATTCTATGTGCCGCAATCTGACAGACATGAGTTACAAGTTGTGGTAAAAAGCAAGGACGTCTTTCTAGGGTCAGTAAACATCCTCTTGAACCAAGTCCACTTCAATGAAGATCTCTGGTACCCATTGACCAACAGCACGACTTAGATCTGATGTTCCATGAGTCACTAGGACTATTCCCTGCGCAGAATAAACCCGCTGACAACGTAATGTAAATGTGTATGTTTCATAGACAATCATTCGTATTACATCTACAATGTTACATCTGTGAACAAACGCTGGGCCATAAAATTATCTTTCAGATTACAAATGTTTATGGACTCCCTGATAGATACAGAAGCTTTGCATTTCTTGTCCAGTAAATACAAATATAGGACTGAGTGGTAATCAGTCAGGGATTTGATTTGGCTCAAACCAGGACCCTTCTGCTGGATTCGGAGGTATAAAGCAGCACCATGAAGGAGCTTGGACAGTGATGATTTCACGTATGCTAAGCCAGTCAGAAAAACCGCCAAGACACTGGAGTGTCTTGATGTTTCTAGATGTATCCATGTTCAGTTGTATCCCTACAGGAAAATGGTTCCACAGGTCACAACCAGCCAGGATCTTCTTATGGTCTCCTCTGGTTCCCCTAAGTAAGGACCTCTGAAGACCCCCAAGACTGGTGAATGAGTAATTAAATAAATCGTGTGTTACCTGCTTTATCTTTAGTGTTTCCCAATTTCAAATCTTGATTTCATTTTGGAAACTATATATGTTTGATTTGTTCTGCATTAACCTGCTGTTATCATCAAACACCATTAAAGAATTGGTAAATATGTTATTTTATCAATACTTGAGTTGTAGCTTCTGATATAAATGTTATATTGTAGGATATCTAAAACTGTTTATGTGCTGTCTTAAAGGAGCACCATAGCATTATGAACACAAACATGTCTGTATGATCTCAGCCCATGTGGCGCTGAGCTAATAAAATGCTCTCTATAAACAGCATATGATTAACAACCAAAGCTGACTCAGTTCTCACAGCGGAGGCACCACTAATGGCGGCCAGGAACTAGAGGTGTGTTAATCCTGCAATGGAACCATTGCAGCTTCTACAAAATGACTTTTTTACACCACTGGGTCAAAAAGATGAAGTGCTCTGGGTGCCTTTGTGTCCCTTTAGATCTATGAAAGACTACTTAGCGAGAAGCCCAGTATACTCATATCATGTGGCCAGGGCCGGACTGGGAATTAAAAGCAGCCCTGGAAAAAAAATATTTACCAGCCCCATAATGCGTCGCGCCAGCATAGTGTGCAGATACAGAGTTAGAACAGATAACTTAAAATTAAAAAGTACTTCAACGTAAAAAGCGCACTCATAGGCTTCAAAATAAACAAAAGTGCAGATTTATTTTAAGCAGACGTGCCTTTGCATGTAATCAATGTTTCAGTCCAACTACCTTGACATATTAAGGAAAGCTTGTTAATGGGACTGAAATGGTGAATGTATGTAGGGCACAACTGTAAAAAATTTTTATTTTGAAGTCCTGTGGGTGTGCTCTTCACTTTAAATATGTTATTGTGCTGGAGTATGCACCTAGCAACAAGATTGGGCCAATATCTGCTCATTACATATGGTACATATTAATGAAATTTCTCTGTGTATTATGCATTTATAAATGTACATTAATATGTGTAAATATAATAGATATATATATATATATATATATATATATATATCTCTAACTAATACACACATTAATATACATGTCATATACTAGTGGCGGATCCAGAGCCTGAGCCTGAGAGGGGCACTTGTAGATTATTCAAAGAAATATTCCATGCACAATAACCACTACTCCTCTGTGTAGTGGTTATGGTGCCAGGAGCGTCGGCACCCCCTCCCAGAGTAAGTCGTCAAACCGTTTAAGAACAGTTTGACAACTTACCTGGAGTCTGCTGGGATATGGGGCTGTAGTAGGGTATAGGAGCAGTGGTGCAATGTGTGTGAAAGGTTCAGTGTGTGGGTGGGCAGTGTGTAAATGTGTATGGTGTGTGTGTGTGGGGGCAGTGTGTGAATGTGTATGGTGTGTGTGTGTGTGCAGTGGCATACACATGACCCATGGGGCCCCGGTGTGAAAATTGATCCATGGGCCCCCCCCCGCGCTTACTCAGCGCGGGTCGGGGCCCCAACATATGGCGGCGGGCACCTGGTCGCAGGGGTTGCAGGGCTGCGACCCCACAACCGCGGTATGCACACACACATAAAGGACCACTACAGACACCCAGATCACATCAGCTCAATGAAGTGGTCTGGGTGCCAGGTCCCTCTAGTTTTAACCCTGCGGCTGAAAACATAGCAGTTTCAGAGAAACGGCTATGTTTCACTGAGGGTTAATCCAGCCTCTGGTGGCTGTCTCATTGACAGCTGCTAGAGGAGCTTCCGCGAACGTCCATAGGAAAGCATTGAGTAATGCTTTCCTATGGGCGGTTTAAATGCGCGCGCGCCTCTTGCAGAGCATGTGCATTCGGAGCTGAGAGGCGGACACTGGGGAGTCCGACGCTGGAGAAAGGTAAATGCTGAAGACTCACACACACACTCTCACGAACAGACGCATACACACTAGCTAACAGACACACACATTTACTGACAGAGACACACTCAGCGACAGACATACATACACACTCACTTACAAAACATACACTTTCACTGACAAACACACACTCACTAACAGACATCAAACACACTCAGTAACAGACACACACAGTAACACACTCACTAGCAGAGACACACACTAACACACACACTAGCAGACACACACACTAACACTCACTAGCAGACACACACACTAACACACGCACACACTAACACACTAACACACACACACTTTTATTTTTATTTTTTATTTAATCCCCCCAGCCTCCTTACCTTTTGGAGTGCTGGGGGGATTCCCTGGGGTCCAGTGGTGCTGCTGGGCTCCTGGGCGAGCCGGCGGCTGTCTGGGCGGGCAGCCGGTCACTGGCGGGCTGTCTGTCTGGGCGGCCGGCGCGCGAGGGAGCACTCTCCCCGGAGTGCTTCCTCTTCAGCTCCCTCGCGCGCCGCATAGGGATGCCGGAGCCGGAAGATGACGTCATCTTCTGGCTCCGGCATCAGTGCGGCACGCGAGGGAGCTGAAGAGGAAGCACTCCGGGGAGAGTGCTCCCTCGCGCGCCGGCCCAGACAGCTCCTGTCATTGCTGTGGCTGATGGAGGAGAAGCCGGCACAGGAACCGCGAGGGAGCATGGTAAAGGAGACAGGCTCCTCCTCCATCAGCCACAGCAGTGAGAGGAGTGCCGCCGGACCAGGGAAGCTGCCACCCGGCCCGGCGGCTCCAGCCAGGAACGCGGCCGGCCCCCAGGTGCCGCGGTCCACCGGGAAATATCCCGGTGGGCCAGTCCGGCCCTGCATGTGGCCCTCAATGATGTGACAGAATTGTAGTCTGAATTCCATGTCTCTCTGAGGAACGAAGGAAAGTGAGTGGACAGTGTGACAAACTCCCCTTTTCAAGTGGATACATTAATTATTAAACACCATCCACATGGGTACTCACCCCCTGAACTCTGACTTGCTGCCCGCAGCTGTCAGCGATTTGCGGGAAAACCTGACCCAGTACTGCTTGATACACTGATGTGCCCTGGCTCCCGACACTGCGTTCCAGCTGGCTACCATGGTGATCACTGGAACGCACATAGTTAGTGCAGGGAGTCCAACCTAGCCGCGAATCGCGTGCAGCAAGCCAGAGTTCAGGGGGTGAGTACCCATGTGGGTGGTGCTTAATAACGTATCCCTATATAAATGTAATATGTACGCTTCTATGATTGTCTTGAAAAAAGTTCAGAATCTTGAACTGAAACGTCAACATTTTTATACCCGCCATCAACCTGAATAAAAGTTACTTTTTCTCTTTTACTCTATGTTAGACCTTGGAGTGCTATCATTTCCCTATTTTTGTGTGTGTATATATATATATATATATATATATATATATATATATATATATATATATATATATATATATATATATATATATATATATATATATATAGACACATATATCTATATATATATAAATACAGAATGCTTGCACTTCTGGATTGAAAATATAAATGCCCGGTGCTGGTCAGGCACAGGATACAGAACAAAAGTGAAAATGACCGCACTCCAAGGTCTTCATACAGTTGAAATAAAAAAATAACAATTTATATCATTAAAAAATATATTGACGTTTCAGCCCCCATACATGGGTTTTCATCAGGATGGCAAATTAATTCCTGCTGGAGATAGGGTGTTGAATTCAAAGATCGACCTCATCTCCATCTCCAGTTTTCTCCATCTCTCCATGGTTTCTTTACTCTTTTAATGCCAATAAATTGAGACATTTGGGGTCACCATTGTGGTACTGTGCAAAGTGGTCAGATACAGAGTGATTAGGGACTTTATTCTTAATATTTCTAATGTGTTTTCCTATTCTAATTTTAAGAGGTTTTAACAGCTTCACAAGGACAAAACCAGAAATGTGTGTATCGCATCGTTGGAAATGACGTGACGCACCCAGGGGGCGTGTCACAAATACATTTTTGGTGCCAAAGATTTAAAAAGGGACAGAAAGACATAAGGAATGTGCACCTGATGAATGTGTCCTGCCGAAACATGTTGTGTTGATGAAAGAACCTTGATGAAGCATATTGTGTTTTTATATGTAAGGATTTTATATATTTGTTTTTAATAAATCTACATATTTTATCTTTAATTGCTGCTTGTTATCTCAATTATATGAACACCGGGGAGGATTATATCCACTGAAACCCCAGGATCTCTACATCCTACTCCTTCCTACATACTTGGGCCAGTCTTGCACAGGCTCATGAAAATGTAAGTAGGATCAAAAATGATTATATATAATTGGTTTCCACTAGGGTATTGTACAGATTGTATTGCCCTATGTGAGCATTTCTCTTTTAGAAACCTCATTGGACCCAGTTCCCTATAAAGTGTAATAAAAAATAGTTTTACTTAAATAATATACACTGTGTACAGAAGTGATATTACACTTACATTGGTTTATAGTGCACTTTCCACTTTTTGAATTTACTTCTAAACCCTGTTCCTGTCCACTAATTTTCCTTCGTTCCTCAGGGAGACATGGAATTCAGACTACAATTCTGTCACATCATTGGGGTTTACAATACAATAAAACAGGGGTTTCAATCCCAAGATCCTCTGTGCCTGAGAAATAACTGCGTGAGAAAAACCTGTAATCCAATTATTTCTCAGGTACAGAAAATCCACACAAAATATACAGTACCCAAAAAGTGCACCATACTCAGGAACCCCACAAAAAGTAAACCCCTGGATATTCCCCATCTGAGTGTATATCATATCCAAAGATCACTCAGATCAGTTCGGTGAAACGGGAATGCCATCGAGGTAAAGTTTTTTTTTTTGTTTTGTTTTTTTAAACTTTTTATTGTATTTTCAACAATGGGATACAGAACAGAAAAAGGGGAGTGTGGGGGAAAAAAAGATCTCATTGTACCGTATATTTCACCGGGTACATTCAACATTATACACAGTGTTGTCTCTTGGTCTTTGTAATGGTTGTTGGTTTGACAACCTAGTGTGTCGTGATAATAACAATGCCTATGTGGTACTTCGGGTGGCCAAGTTAAGGTTTGGAATGTGGAATGGAGGGGGGTTTGGGTACAGAAATGAGAAAGATGTGGGGGTTTGACAATTGAAGGTTTCATTGTTAACTGAAAAATATACCAAACTACGACCGAGTTTTGACCCACAGAGAGGTCGATTAAAGTTAGATATAGCGGTAGTGTGATGGACGGTGATTACACAGATAGTGGTTACTTTGTGAGATATTAGCAGATGTTTGAGTTTATAGAAATGTCCATCAGGTGCGTACTGTACAGTAAGAAGGTACACAGGGTTCAAATAATTAATCAAGCTCGAAACCAAAGATATCATTGAATTGGATTGGTACCGTAGCTGAGTGCTTCCCGATTAGTTACCTCAGAGTAGGTTATTATACCCTGGGAGGGCTGCAGCAGGGATGACGTTGGGTTGGTTTGAGGTTTCAATGTAGCGTAGAGCATTTGGGCTTACTGTCTCGCAGTGACCAGTTGTCACCCCACGGTGGGATCTGAGTTGGGCATTAATCCCCATCGTGGTTAGTGGTATCAGTGTTGTTAAGTTCATAGCGATCTCAGCCAGTCAAACCCCTGTCATGTGGGGGTTGTATAGTGGAATAGGGAGGGGTATTGACCGGCCGGTGAGACCGGGGAGGATAGCAGACGTAATTTTTTTTACAATTTTTATTTATTTATTTTTTTATGAATCCGTATTGGTTGATGTCTCCTGGTCTTTTCATGTGAGGCAGGGGGTGAGGAGTGTGGGGTGGAGGGATCATCAGGTGTGACAGGTAGGGAAGGAGGTTCCATCTGTGAGTATCTGCCTGGGGGGGTGCATGAAACGGGGATGTAGACCTTGTGGTGTGCAGTTACTTGTCCTTCATGAACTGTATCCATGGTTCCCATGTGGCAGTGTATAATGGGTATTTACAAGAGAGGGTAGCATGTATTTCTTCCATTTTTTTTATTGCAATCCACTCCCTGATGAAGGGAGCATTGGGGTGTTTCCACTTCATGGGTATGAGTGCATTGGCAGTGGAGATGAGGTGAGTGGTTAGGATACGTTGCAGCTTGAGCAGGGGATGTGGAAGTATGAGAAATAGGAATGTCTGAGGTGTGAGAGGTAGATAGAGACCTGTCACTGCTTTGATCATTTGTGCTATGTCGGACCAAAATTTTTGAATCAGAGGGCAGTGCCAGTGCCACCAAGTGTGGGCCAGAGACACTCCCTGTTGAGTGCATTTCCAGTAAGTGTCAGGTGTATTATGGAATAATCGATGTAGTTTTGATGGAGAATAGTATCACCTGGCGATGCGTTTGTATCCACTTGTAACGGTCACCCAGAGTATCAGAGGGGTGTATGCCGTTAGATTTGTCCTTTTCCCTTGGAAAGAGCTGTGCTGCAGTATTGGCCAGATGTCATCTCAGTTGAACAGGTAGTCGAATATGTAGTAGAGATCTTACAAGAGCTAGTGGTTAGCTGTGCAGCAGGTTCCCTAGAAGCACGAGACAAGGCTACATGTTGAGGGTTAAGCAGAACTGCTTTTTATGCAAGTTTATAACAAGGTTGCCACCAGGTACACACAGTGAATAACCAATAAACATAGAGTCATATAATGAGACACTCCCATACATTACACACAATCCCTCCACTCTGGGAGATAATTGAGTTAATTACTGTATCAACTGAATTATCTCCAAACGAAAAAAAATGGCAATTTTTATAAATTTTCAGAAATACCCCAAAAAATCATCTCTGAATCCCATAAAACATACATTTTCTGAGAGCCCCGATCTAGGGAAAGAACATGTAAAAATCATCCAAATCGGTTCAGGGATTCGTAAATTACATCAAAGTCCCACTTCTGCCCAGCCACAGACGAGGCTCCTGCCCAGAATAGTTCCATGAATTTAGCTGGTACAGCCGGTCTCTTTCAAGCAGAGTAAAATCTGTTTAAAAATTATTTTCCATTGTGGTATCGTGAACTGTACCTTAAGGTCTGCAGACCAGGAATCTGTGAACGGAGGTAAGAGGGTGTGGTGTTCTGCATGGAGAAGTTTGTAGAACATTGATAATTGTTTTGTTTTAATATTGCGGTTTTTCGCAGTGCACCTCAAAGGCCATGAGCATGCGGGATCCCTTCATAAGGGAGGGAGTTGTTTTTAAGAAATGTGTAAGTTGTGCAAATTGGAATGACTGCAAGGCAGTCGTAGTATTTTGGTCAGATATACCGGAGAGAGGTCGTACGGCATTGTCGTCGAGAAGGGAGACCAATTTAAGGTACTGTGAGTCCTGGGAGGGCAGGAGATGTTGGCAAGATTGTACCTGCAGACCTGGTGGAAAGAGTGAATTATGTGTAATGGGGTATAAGGGTGGGGGGAGATTTCCCTGGAGTCTCGGATACGAGCCCATGTTCGAAGTGTGGGCGAAATGGAAGGGTGATGTTGTGAGAAGAGGGGTAAAATGCAGCACATCAATGCCACGTAACATGGGAGATGCTACAGGGCGCCTCACTGCGCTAAGGCTAGAGGCTAGGGGGGAAAGGGGTTGAGGTAAGGCAAGGGAGGGGGAAAGTGGAGAGATAATCCCTTCACCAACATTAAAATTAAGATGTCACTATATGTAGACCCTGACATACGGGAAGTGTCTCAGGTTTAGGAAAGTCCTACAGATAGTCTCATTAGGTCCATGCTAGAAGGGATGTAGTATAGTAGCGTCTCCATAGATTGTTGCTGCCACCGTGCCTGATTAAGTGTTGGGAGCGTGGGGGTGTATTTGTACAGGCAGATGTCTGTGACAGTAGGGGTGTAAAGATTACATGTCGGGGGAAGTTTACCAGGAAACAAAAGTGTGTGGCATGGTGATTGCTGGATATCACCTGATCATCAGGGCCTTGGGCGCAGTCCAGGGTTTAGTACGGAAGCCTAGTTAGGAGGAGCAAGTTCGGTGTGGAGCAAGGTGTAATTTCAGTTGAATCTGTCGTGGAGGGAGGTGATCTAGTCCTGTAGAGGAAGCTGTGGGTCCTGCGACTTTTCAGCAGTGCCGGGAAGTTGGTTTTGGAGTCTAAAACAGGTTGGTTAGCACAGAGTTGGATCTTCATCTGTGGCATTGGGATCCAATGTGTGACAGAACCATCTGTCTGTCTATTGTGGTGGATTCGTTTATTTCTGCCCTCATTCATGTAAATGGCTGTTTCTATAGCCCAGCCATACGAATGACTCCTTTTTACCGAACAAATCTACCGAACGGATTGCCACCCTGGATAGAAGTGTGCTGCTGGTTAACCTCTTGATCCCAATTAGAACGTTGTGGTTAACCGCAGACACTTCTCAATTAAGCCGAATTCAGGGTGGCAGTCGTTCGTATGTCGACCACGAGGCAGCGGCCATTTTAAAACACAAGAAAGACCAACGGTGTTCGGCACTGATTTCATGGAACTAAAAACTGACACTTTTTCTGCCGAACACCGCTGAAACAACGGGTCGCCCTACTCCATTGATGAAAGCATGCGAACACCAGCCGTTTGGGAATTTGGAATCACACGAAAAGCCTTAACCCAGAGAGCCTTCCCATGGAGTCAATCGCATACCGAAAGACTGCAAGAACTTTGACTCCATGGCGATTGAACTATGTGTGTGGGATCTGAGCGCTCTTCGCTAATAATATGCCCTCATATCCAGGCTATCTGGGGATGTGTGATACGAATGTGAGATGTTCGGTAGTTGTAGAATTATATATTTTTGTGTGTTTTCTGGCATTTTATTTAAGATGGTGATTTGTCTTTGTCCTGGAGATAATTGAATTACTTCTCAATTATCTCCAGGGCAGAGGGGAGGAAACCATTTTGCATTGTGGGAAAAGTTTAAATCTGTATGTCTGAAATGTCCCCATGTCTATCTGTCATTACAGTCTCCCATTTGGTCACTAGGGGAGTGTCCACCAAGTGGGAGACCTGCATAAATACGGGTGGGTAGCCCACTGTAAAGCCAGATCCTGTTTGACCCTCAATGCGGAGCTTCTGTCTCGTTATTGGGGGGGGATTTATTATTTACGCCTAGAGACTGATTATTGGAACCGAAAGCCGCTTGGTGGATATCTTTGTTCGGCGGT